ACATGCACTACTATAAACCCCAAAACCCCAAAACCCCTTGAATTAAAAAAAGGGATTTTTTTGTGATGAAATAGATATTTTAAAACACAACTTTTCTATTTTATGTCATATGCGTCTGCTAATTATTTTAATTAGTCATATTTTGAAATTTTAGAATATTTTTTACAGTTCCGCAAACACTACTCTATGCAGTCTGAGTTTATGAAATTAAATACCAATAAATCCGGCTTAAAAATCTTTTTTTAACATGGAGATTTGCTCGAAAGCTTATTAACTTAGAGACAGAAAATATAAAATTTAATAAATATAACAAATTGATTGCTAGGTCTATCCTCTTCCAAAAGATTAGCTAACAACTAGGATTATTAAATCATTGAAGCTTAGCTACACAATGAATAAGGACATTGCTTTCTTGAATCATTACAAAATAATAAAAATCACTTATTATCTAAAGGAGAAAATAATTATATGCAAGCAAAAAATAATATATAAGAGAGTATAGATGTCGAATAATTAGAAATAAGTCATGTTAATAATCTTAAATCAAATAAGTTTAGCAGAGATAAAAGTTTTGGAACAAATTTCTCATTTAATAAATCAAGAAAAATAGAAGAGCTAAATATTGATTCCAATTTTAAAAGTTCTTATCTAACTCGGAACTTTGAGATAAAAAACAAAGACATAATCTAGCCTTATAAAAACCATTTTTAATAACAATTCATGATAGGAAATTGTGAATTAGAACAAAGGAATAGTATTCAAACTTCCAGTAATATAAATAAAAAATTAATCTCACCATCTTAATTCAAGAAGTAGAACAAATAATATAGCGATTCCAATTAAACAGAGGAGAATCTAAGCTCATCTAGTTCTAGTTTAGAAATTAAAAAGTAAACTATCATAATCAATAATAATGAGGATGCTGAAGATAACATTTTTTGCAATGAAAATAATAATGAATTAAACTTTAGACTAGCATAAAAAAACATTAAAATGCCAAAATTCAAGTTAATTCCTAGGGTTAGACAAAGTGAGTATGTTAAAAATATTCTTAAACTTGACATTTCGAAGCTAGGAGAAGTTGAAAAATCTTAACATATCTTTACCTCTGTCAATAATGCTGATTGCTTCACTAAAAAATAGAAAATTTCTTTAGTTAATTAATCTAGTTAATCATTAAAGCTGGCCACAACTTCAAATCTTCAACTTAAAAAATCAAAGTTCAAAGAGAGATAGACAAATATAAGGTTATAAAAGCTACTTTATTCAAATACTACAAATGAGGAGAATACCTAGAGATTTAAGTAAATGTGCCTTATAGATAATGACTCGACTAAATGTCCTGAAATTTTGGCTTAAAAAATTGATAGCTAAACAGCATCAGCAACAAATGAGAGTACCAATAGAATTAAATGGCTTTAGAAAAGTAAAATAGACTCTTCAAAAAATTTAACGGCTAACGTCATCGAGAAAAATGATAAAAAATCTAATTTTTTAAGTCTTCCATAACTATTTAATGAATAGAGAAGAACCTCATCAGGAATTTCAAAATTTAATATACAAATCACAAAATATAGCATATAAGATAAAGATAGAGTTTAATCAGCATTAGTATCTGGTAAGAGATATTAAGATTTTTTAAAAGGAGATGAAAAGGAAAAGTATGAAGTATATAAAGAGAATGTGGTCAAGATCAAACAAGAGGAACAATTAAAAAGAATATCAACAATTAAAGATAATTCTTCAAAACACAAATTATGATGAAATGATTATTATCCTAGTTGATGAATAGAATTTGAAAAATTAATTATCAGTACGTCTTTTGAATTCTCAAGATCTAAATTGCTCTGGGGTTTTGGGGTTTTGGGG